CGGCGCCTGATGTTCTGCTGGGGCTTTGTGCAGGGGACGCCGCAGAAGGACGTTGTGATCAGCCCCGATGCCCCCAGCACGTTGCTCTCCGAGAAACACGCCGACTATATTGCTTCGTATGGAGCAAAGAAAGACGATTACGTAGGTATCGGTTCGTTTGAGAACAGCCGTGCTTTTATTGGCAGCAGTGAGAGCCCTCGCTTACTTGAGCAGTGGATGGACAGAGACCTGCTGACAAGCAAAGTCTTTTGTTCCCTGCACTGCAGAGTCTTAAAGAAAGGTGTCTGTGTTGGTTTCTCTAGGTCCGTGATGAGTTTTGGCATGTATTATCTGAGGATAAGCCTGAAGAGTATCGGTTTAGCTCTAGAATTACTCTGAGACCTGAGAAATCAACTAGTAGTTTCAGGTACCTTTGGCTCTTGTGATGGGGCCGCATGCTCTATGGGAAGTTACTAAAATGTCAGTCTCATAGGGAGTGTGGAAAGGGATTGATAGTTTGCTGTCCTTCACTGTACTCGCTGCCTTCACTGTGCTTGAGAGCATCAAATTAAGTCAGCTGATGGCAGTTTAAAAAATAAACTAAAGGAAATGGTTTACACACAGTGTGTAGGGCAGTTCTAAAAAGAAACTAGAGGAAATGGTTTACACACAGGGTGTGTAGTTAATTTGTTAAGGTCGTTGCCCCTGCTTTTTATTAATGCTATAATTTAACATAGGTTCAAAAAAGAGACTGAGCAAATTAATGTAAAATGTATCTGTCAAGAGTTAGCATAACAAAGATACCCAAGAGAGGTATGTCTGTGGTTGAGGAAGTCACTGTAATGCTGAGAAAAATATCTTTGAGGAAATAAAACTGCATTGATATTCACCGTATTTGTGTGTAGTTCCTGAGGTGTTGGCTCTCTTAGTTTTCTAATGGAGACACTTGTCGTCCTTCCCCCACGTGCTGTGGCATCTCGGGAGAACTACACACAAAGGCCATTTGCTGTTAGTTTTGCTGTCCCCAGAAGAGCTGTGAGCCCTGTTGCCTGTGGTTGTGCTTGCAGATCAGTGCCTGTCGAAAAGTGGGAAGGAAATCCTTGGAAGTGGAAAGTACAGGGGAAGGAGGGAAGGAATGCAGAAGGTGTGGATACACATGTGTGCCTGTGCATGAGTGGATGTACATGGGTGCTGTGTCTGATTGTCTGTTAGCTAAGGGCTTTTTATGGCTCAGTGCTGTTGATGTGCTTATCTGGTAAGAACTAAAACTCTGCATGTTCTAGGAATACTGCATGTCGGAGTACCTGAGGATGAGTGGTGTTTACTGGGGGCTGACAGCAATGGATCTGATGGGGCAGCTGCACCGGATGAACAAAGAAGAGATTCTGGCATTCATCAAATCATGCCAGCACGAATGTGGTGGAATAAGTGCCAGCATAGGTCATGATCCTCATCTTCTCTATACCCTCAGTGCTGTCCAGGTAAATGTACCAGGGTAGTTGTAGAAAAAAAACCATTTATAATTAATGTTTTTGGTTATTTCACAGTTATGCAGTAGGTACTGGTGGATACCAATGGCAAAACCCATGGTAATATCATGTTAAAAAAGTTATCTAACAGACAAAACTTCAGGATTTAGCTGTATCATTTCCTAAAAAAATATTCAGATTTGGGAACTTTATGCTTCTAATGATCATTTAATAGTAACTGCCTTCTTGATAGGTTTTTTAATAGTCCTCTTGAAATGCTTCTTAGCTACAGGTTTTACTGGAGATCTTTTGTAGATAATTTTGGATTTTATATATTATTCTTAGCATACGTTGAGGTGAAAGGTATGAGTGACAAAAAAAACAGTCAAGGTTTGGATTTTAATTTTTAATCTATATATTGCTATATCTTCTAACATTAATAATTACATTATATTAACCATATATTTTGTAACATGTACAATTATGTGTAGTGTTTTTCCACTTTATTGCTGCACGAAACATCATTGTTCTCATTTCCTTTTTGTTCCTCAAATCTGCTTTCTGTGTTTATAATTTCAAAGTGATACCAGTTTGTTGGGCATTTTATTTATTTGCTGTGTACTCTTCCCTTGCAAAAAGATCTGTTTTTTCCACTGTATCTGTCTCCAATTTAATTTCTTACTGTATCTTGTGTCTTCATTTTGTTTTGTTCTCCCTCTTCTGCAAACTTGTGGAAAAAATATGGAAGAGGCTCAAATGCTTCTGAACAATTGCTTGATTCCTTGCATGATGTATCTCTAATCCCATTCTCTGGAAGAAATAGGTAGTGTTACAAATAAGTAAGATGGCATCCTGTTTGAGGAAAGAAGTGTGTTGCATTTAATTGTAATTTGAAAGCCTTAGGAGAGATGAATGCTGAGTGTTGACATTTATTATCTGCTCTAAAGTTGATACTTATCACCACTTGAGCTCTAGGATTACTCTGAATACTCTTTAAGAACCAGCAAACCAAGGTTTCTTTAGACTGTGAAGTCTGAGCTTTTCCCCAAACTCCTTCCACGAATTCTAATCCAGTATAAGGAGAAGGGGGCGCAATTTGAGGTTGTCTGCTTTTACATATTAGAGAGCTAGCTCTCAAATACTTCATGTTACTAGGAAATCTTTTCATGCTAACTGAACGAAGCACCAGATGTGTGAAGTTTAAAAGCCTCAGGAAGGGCTGCTGTAACATTTTTGTGGTAAACTTAATCAGCATGTCTTAATAAACATCGATGCTTTTAGTGCACACAGAGTTCAGTCCTGTGTTCATAGCCAGAATGTTCAAGGGGTCATGTCTCATCTTCCTTTGACGACATTTCATTTCTATTTTTTGTTCAGATTTGCTTTTAAGGAACATGCAATGATTATGTATTTTCTGTTGGAGCTGTACATTCTTTTTTTGGTATTTTTCGAAGACTTAACATTTTTTTCTATCAGCTGAAAGATTCCAGCTAACTCTAGGTGTTCAGTGTCATTGCTGGTATTTTTCAGGATCGGAACTATAATATTCCTTAGTTTCAAATGTTCTTTCTATTATGCTATTTATAATACATCCTTAATTACTGTATTTGCAGACTATGCAAGTTAGGAGTAAAAACACAAAGCCAGCTGGGACTCAGAAACAGTATTGTTTTTTTCACATGACTTTGTGTCATATGGGTTTGCTGGTTCAAATCAGTGCTACTTCAGAAAACTTTATTCCCTACTATCACCTTTATTTTTCTCCCAGAATTTATTGACTGTATAGTTTGTGTAATCATATTGTTCATAGGTTTTCTTAAATTATTGCAATTCTGTTCTACTCAATATATTTAACAATTTAATGTAAATAAAAATCTTTAATCCAAAACTAATCATTGCTGACAGGCTTGGGCTGGAAGTGGTATTGGTAACCAGCTGCTTCACTTACACGTGCACATCCCCAAGTAGCAGCAGTGCACAGGGTGCAAAATTGTAAGTCCAGGGTGTCATTATCCTGTTGCAGAATTAACCATAATCACATCTCTGTTCTACGTGATGCTGACATGAAAACAAATAAACCTGATTGTGCTTCTGAAAGGAGAGAAAAGTAACAAAAAATAAGAGTTCAGCTTGAATTGCTTGTATTTTTATTTCAGAATTTCTTGAAGTGTTTAGACAGATGTGGATGAACTGCAATTAATGAAATTTTATCTTAATAAACCTTACCAAATAGTGTTCATGGTCAATTAAATAAAGTCTGTTACCAATCCAAGGTGTTTTTTTTAAATTAAACAATTTTTAAAAATTTTTGCCTCTCTTTGATTGTTACTGTCCTTTTTTTTTAGATTCTTATCTTATATGATAGTCTCCATGTTGTTGATGTAAATAAAATTGTTGAATATATACAGAACTTGCAAAAAGAAGATGGATCATTCGCTGGAGACAAATGGGGTAATTTAAAAATCTTTTAACATGTAGTGACTAGGTTGACATGTGTAAGTGTGTGAACTGAAATTTCCTTGGATAGTCTTTCTGCTCATGCTTTGTATGTGAACACTTGTATTTTCTGAGTTATGAAAGAGGAAGCTTTGTGAATGACAGAGCTGTGTTTCATTCCTAAGTATTCTAAACTTCAGTTCCCTTCATGTATTAAAAATAAATTGTCCAGCTCTTTAAGGGAAATTTTGAGGGCATTTTTAACAGTACTTGGATGTACTAGATAAGCTGCTCTGTATTAATTGCTCAGAAGCTGCTCTAGAAGTGTTACATTGGCAGGGACAGGCTGAGCATTCATTCTGCTGTAGCTTTTTTGGTTTAGCTTCCAGGTAGAAGTGCAAAAGAAAACTTGCAACTTTCTTCAGTCTTCCTCTAAAACCAAAAATGATTTCTCCTGCTGCCTGGATTTAGGGCAGATCAAGGGTTGTGTCCTCGTATTTCTGAGCCCACTGCTCTGCACTTACCTAGTAGAGCACTACAGGTAAACTATGAAATTACATAGTTATTTGTAAATTTGCACTAGTTGAATTGACTTGGATACTTACCTGACTACACACCAGCTCAAAATGAGTTGTTTTATGTGCAGTAAACAGAGATGACTTGAGGTGCAATGTAAATTTTCTAAATGACCGAGGAAATAATTCATAGGCCAGAAAAGGAAACAGTACAGGGACCATTTATGGCTGTTTTTTTGTTGTTTGATGTAAGACCTAGTATTTTAACAGTGTTCTGTGTTTTCAGCAGTGCCTTAAATATATTTTTGCTGCTGTTAACAACAATACTCTTACTTCATTCCCTACCCTTCACGTTTTAGGAGAAGTAGATACAAGGTTCTCCTTCTGTGCTGCAGCAACTCTTGCACTTCTGGTAAGTCCTAAATCATCATTTGCACAACTACAGGATCTTGGTGCTGCTGAAGTTCCTGTAGTTAATGAGCTCAGCAAAGTGTAAAGTAGCACTGGTTTCTTTTCTGACTTGCAGGGAAGGCTGGATGCTATTGATGTGGGGAAAGCAGTAGAATTTGTTCTGTCCTGTATGAACTTTGATGGAGGATTTGGCTGCAGACCAGGTTCTGAATCACATGCGGGACAGGTGAGTTTTTCTTTACATGGAAACGTTTCAAATCAGCAAGCACCACCTGCTGCCTGTAGAAGTTTCTTGACAACATCTATCAGTGATGTCAATTGATGCACGTTTCTTCTTTCACAAAAGCCTCGTTCTAGTACCTTGGATAAATGCATGGACAATAGGTAA